CGGAACGCACAGCAGCCCCAAAGGTGTTTCGACAAACGCCTCCATATATCCTGTGCGCAGCACTGTTAATGTGAAGTCAACAACAACAACAACCCTGGTTCAAACCAAAAGTTGTTCCGAAATAAAGAAATTAAGGTTCCGGATGAAAGGTTCTTCTTACTGGTGGCCCATTGGTGCGTTGGTGCAGCCGTGCTGGCTGGCTGGGGCTGGCCAGGCTGGCTTTTACTTGCTTGACGCGTGTGGTCTGAGGCGCTGCCGCTCATCTCTCATCAGAGCGATTGGTGCATCTTTAGATTGAAGTACATAAGAACGCGGACAGAGAGAGCAAGGAGGAAGGATCTACAAGCACAGCAGCAGCCCCACGCCGTGCCGCACCAATGCGATGGACGGAGATGATGAACCGTTCTGGTCGATACAGCTTACCGGCAACGCTGATACATCTAGAATTGAAAACCAGCCTGCGTTAGGCTACGAGGTACGTGTATGTCCTTGGAGAGATCGCACTGCCGAGTGAGCTCTTCTCCGAGTACCAATTTCACCGCACACGACAGCAATCCAATGCCGTCAGATCAACACGATGCTTGCCTACAAGTCTCGTTGTTTGGGTTATATCAATCGATCTCGATGTTTCCTGGTTGACCTCAAAACACCAAGGAATCACGCAGCAATCGCACATGAGAGACGCATGAGACCAGTCGGGGGGGGGGGGGGCTTCGTAACAGAAAACCCGGGAGTTGTCACACAGCAGAGCAGCGGTTGGGGCTTGTCTCCAGCAGCATATCACGAACCACAAAGAGCAGGAGCAGTAGACTAGTCTACAGCCGCCGCCACAACTCCACACACCTCCCAAACCAAGACAAGAGCTCCACACCATACTCCAATTTCAAGACGAAGCACGCGACACGGCGGTGGGTTCTCAATCAAGTACGCGCCGCGCACGACCATTACGTTGCTGAAGTCCTGACCTTGAACAAAATAGTCTAAGTAGGCTTTCCAGTAGCGAGCATCGTGGAGCAGGGACATGGGCGTTGACACGCGCCGTCTAAGGCTGGCCGCAGCTAGCTGCGGTCCGAAGAGGCCGCATAATATCTGGGTCGATACCATTACCGTGCACGATTCACCGCCGAACGGCCGTCACAAGCAAACCCAATCCGGGTCGTAGCTACCCTGCTTTAGACCATCAATTCGGGGCGTTGGGTCTGCGTCGGCGCGTGCAGCAGAAATTCGTGAAAGGTGTGGTATATGAACGCGTGGGCCCAGAGTTGCGGACTTCTTTCGGACCGCGCGTGCAGCCGTGCTCCGTTGAAGGACGACCCTCACAGCAGTTCCGGGGATCATATTCATGACGGCGAGAACAGCAGCGGATCGTGAATTGCAACTTGTATGGACCAAGATTTGCGGACTATTCAGATCTCAGCTGAAGCCTTAGCCTTCCACAGCGGAACGGATCTGGGCGTGCCAAACACGCGCATGTCGCTGCTCTATGATGTCTCCTACTGGAATAGGAGTAGATGTTTATGACGAGACTCCGCAAGCCAGAAAGAAAAGTCGTTTTCGATTTCTTGACCTCCTAGTGCCTTGGATTTAGACGAGGATCTTTTGCCGGGTTTGGCAACAAACCCCTCAAACAAGGCAATTCGTTCGCTCTGCCGGCGTTACCGCAGGACCACGCCCTCCCCAAGGGCACACCGATAACGGAGCACTCGCTTGCGGCGGTATTGGGTAGCGAGCGCGAGGTCTCGGTGCCGATTTTTCGTGGGAGCGACCGCCGCAGGAACGCTGGCTGCACGGAGGAGGTTGCCGGGGGCGGCGGCCACAGCAGCAGCAGCAGCAGCAGCGGAGGTGGAAGCGGATCGTCCAGGCAGTCTTTGCTGATGATGTTGATGATGTTGAAGCTCCGACAAGTCAACGGCGGTGGCGTCATGTCCGGGGTGAGTGCATGTGTATGTCGATTGGGAAGGGTGGGGCCTCGTACCCATTCGGGTCACTGGAAAGTTCTGTCACAAGAGCCGATCGCCTGGTATAGTCTCGTGGGTAAACTTCATAAACGTTTGTTCTGCTAGCAGCTGATTGTGGGTTCGAATCTCTCTCTGTAGGGAGTGAACGAGTTGCGATCCCGTCATGGAAATCGATTTATTCGTGAGTAGACAGCGGCAGCAGCAAGGGGGAAGAGACCGCTGAACAGTTCTTGCGTTTAACAGCAGAAGGCGAGCACAGCCGGGGGCGGGGGTGTACTCATACTCATAGTCGTGCATGCCGTAGTCGTTAGACCATGCACCTCGCATCCCTACAAAGCCGGGACGGAGCACGCCGGGTTCTCACCAGACCAGGCTCTCACATCACCAAGCGCGAAGCGCAGTGAGACATGCGGCGAGTCGCATGAAGGGTGCGCTGCATCCTGCTAAGGGTGTTCGGCATCTTGTGCTTACTTGCTTGTGTACGGATGACAGCTGCTTATGACTTAAATTTATTTTCTGGTGCTTTCACTTCCAGAGACAGTTGTAAGCACTGTGTAACTGCCTCGAGGGTGCTTGACCATTTTAACACAACGTGGTGCGATCGTTCCCCTTGTGCGGAGTGAGGGTTCTCGACCCCGCACAACATGATCTACTCGACCACCATTATGGTTACCGCCAAAAGAAAAACCGGAGGTAAAAAAAACAACGGTAGCCTGGGTGCCGAGTTCACGAGGTGAATTGGCTTGTTGTACAACGTCGTTGCCAAGCGACGAAAACCCAATCCCGATGGCAAACACCGGGGGGGGCGGCCTGTTTTACAACGTCGTTGCCAAGCGACGAAAACCCAA